GGCGTAGTAACGCGGGGAAATATTCTATCATGTGTTATTCATGTGTTATTGTGTGTTATTCATGTGTTATTGTATCTTGAGAATATTCTTGGTGTTATAATAACACAATAACACATGAATAACACACAATAACACATGAATAACGCGCAATAACACATGAATAACACATGAGAAAATATTCCCCGTGTTACTGCGCCGTTTTTTTTGCTCTGCCGCGCGGGATGCCGTGGCGTGTTTTTAATGTAATATTTCTTCCTTACAGCGAGCCGCGATTTTACGCGAAAGCGGAGCGCGAACATCAACCTACGGCCCGGCTTACTCATTCGGCTTTTTACGTCATTACCCTACCCGAAGACATTTCGCCAGGGAAGTGACAGGCAAGCAGGTGAAGAGTGCGAGCAGGTTGGTGGGGCGTAGAGAGATTACGACGAGCGGAATGAAGAGGCCATTGAAGGAGCTATTTGAATTTCCGGAGTATTTCACCTACAGTTTGGAGTCAAGAAGTAAGCCGAGGCATCCGAAATTGGCTAGCAAGGGGATTAAGTGCAGTTTGTCTTGGTTACTCTATTGCAGTGATCGGAGGTTTGAGGAGAGATTACGGGTTGATTACATTGACGAAGATACTCCCGGACCTTCCTTCTTTATGGGGGTAGAGATTCCTGGGAGTTATGTTCTGTCCAAACTGTGCTAGTTTTTTTTTGTTTGTTTCTTATTGTTGCTCCTTTTCTTATCTGCAATTCTGCAAATAGGTTTGTATGGCGTAAGAAGATAGAACGTGATGTCTCTCAATGCCTAATTGTGGACATATACGTTGCATCTGAGAAGAAAAGATAAAGGGAAAGAATGGTATACAATTTTTCTGCAGCTTATGATTGATTAAACACTCTTTTTTTCACATTAGTTTTAAGGATTGAAAATTCTATATCCTAGTTACCTTTCTTTATGTCGTATGTACTAAATAATATTGCGTTTGTTGAAATACAATATTGAATGAGAGGAGCATTACACTAGACAGCAGTATGTGTATTTTGGAAGAGTGGCAACTATCTAATACTTTTTGTGCATAATATGATTCAGATTCCATAAATTTGTTATGGATGCACAATATAAGCAATGTACTGTCATTGAGGTTCATTATATAGCATGATTATTTGGGCTTTAGAAAGTTTGAGTTTTAAATGGTATTGCTTATGCAATATGGTATTGCTTATGCAATATGGTTGTTAGTTGGAGTTTTAGATTCTAATGATATGGGATAACACTTTTAAAATCTATAAATTAACACACTCTTTTCATGAAAGCTCAAATTGCAGTGGGTTGGAGACTGTATTGAAGATGGGAGAGAGCTTAGGGACTTGGAGTATCCTTGATCTCTATTCAACCACTGCCATTATATCTTCATCTCTCATCCATCATCATCAAATCATTTTCATATGTCCAATCTTTGGGTCGTCCCTGTCTCTCCATCAGTGTCAGATCACCACCACCTGAAAATCGTCATTAGGTTGTTGCTGCTTGTCCACCATCGTCAAAAAAAATTTAATTCCAATAAATTCATCATTATTTTGAACATATTCTTAAACTTCAAAATAAATTCATCAATATTTTGAATTTCTGCTTCAGAATTATTAAATAAACGAGTGTCACAACTTTGATACAAATAAATTTACTAAACAGAGGCAAAACGGTCAATTTTCCAGAAACGGCTACCCCACAGCTGTTTTCACGCAGCTGCAACAAACAAACAACCAATTTCCTCACAACAGCTTTCCCGCAGCAGCTTCCTGGGACAGCGCAACTGAAGTTGAAAAGCTGAGCAGCTGCACCAAACAGAGCCTTAATAGTTCAAAAGTGTCACGCGTGGGGTTTGGGCGTGGGTGTGGCCACACCTGGGAACGACATAATTATGCTCAAACTCTCTTTTGGCAGCTTGTTCACGCCGCAACCGAGCATGGACATGCCTGTTAAATTGTGTCACGGGCCTCTACGAGGCTTAGGCTTCACCACACGCGTATCGAGCATGTCATGCCACTCTAGCAAGTGTCGCACCTTAGTCTGCTTAGGGTGTTGCCACGCGTGGGCACACCGGATTCTTGCATTTGAAGTGCTGGTCGAAACAGTTTTAAACTCGTTCAACCGCGGGAGGCTTCAAATAGACAAACTATGACCTTTAAAACATTAAGATGGCATTAAGTATGTCCCATACCATAATTATCATTGCTCAACGGTGAGCTTTCCCGAGCAGGGTTGAATTAGCACTTGCCCTGATTCCGTACTCAAAACACGTACCAGGAAGTCCGAATAGATATTTTGAACTATGGGAAGTTGAACACAATCCAGTAATATCAAAATGGACACCCCACACATATGACATCAAAAGTGATGCCAACATCTTATTCTTTGTATGAGTGTAAAGAGTATCTCTTTTATAACTAAAAATGTCAAAATTTTTCCCCAACTAATGAGTGGTTGCAATTTAATATACAAAATATCTTTAGCATGAAAAATAATTTAGTTGATTTTCAAATAGGGGTATTAATTTGGGTTGATGTGTTGAATTTGGGTTTGACCTAAAGATGGCAAGAACTAAATATTTTTTACCCGAACCCTAGCTTTTATTGTATGGATTAAAAAATTTGACATAAACTCATATGAACCAAAACTTGATTCGTCTAACCTAATTTAATAAAAGGATTAAGCAATTTTCTTTAATCAACATGATCCAAATACGACCTGCTTAACCCAATTACCCAATTACTTCAACTCAAATATGCATAAATGAAACTTGAATAATTATCAGGTTAAATTCACTTATTTGAGTTAACTCAAATCTATCCCAAATAATATTGAGTCTATAATTTAAACTCAAATCAGACCTAAATAATAATTAAGTCTATAAACCTGACTCAAATGGTAACCAAGTCAACAAAATTGACTTGTTGAGTTAAGTTTGGGTATGGTTGTCCGGTCGAGTCATCTATTGACTCCCCAATATCTAACATGTTAGGAATCTGAATATAAATAATAACAACAAATTAATATAAAATCCAATCTAAAATTTGAAATTATTTCTGTCTTTACTAGTCAATATAATTTTAATGTTGGCAAGATTGTACTAAGCAATATAAAGATTCCACTTACATTATATCTATCTTTCTTTGTCGATATAATTTTCTCCTTAGGTTTTAAATCTGCTTAGGATGGGTGAGGGTGGCGCAATTTTGTAGTTGGGGCTAGCAGCCATCCAATGACATGACATTACCTCCGTAGACTCTGTATGCTATTTAAAGTGAAGATGGACATGAAGGCCCATTTAGAAATTCTCTCATTTGGAAATTTTAAATCTATAAGCAATAAGAGAGGGGGTTTTTTAAAATTAAATTATCATAACTTTTCCAAAGTCACTATGAAAAGAGAGCAAGTGATGCATAGAGATCATTAGAAGTTGGAGAGAAGTATAACTACACAATAAAATATGTAGCTTTGAGAATAAAGAGGATAAGTTTGAGAAAACTCAAAAAATATGTAGCTCAATCCTTCCTTAGACACTAATCCTTACATCAACAAAGAGAACCTAAGCTAAATGGAACTCCTTTCTATAAGGGCTAGGAGTTCAAAATATTTTACCTTTAATAGCATACATATAGTTAGCCATATTACATTAACTTAGTGTCTATGAAAAAGCTGAATTAAATTAAGTAAGAAGAAAAGAAGCTCCAATATCAACTATTCTCATTCTTTCTACTAATTTGGTTCTTCTCCTCCCTCTCTTTGTTCATGGAGGAACAATAATTGGAGATGGTGGAACTGAGTGATCCAAAGGCCAACACTCCCACTGGCCGTCCTTGTTTTGAGAAACCTTGAAATGTTTTGGAACCCAAATCTCCCCTTTATAGCTCCTATCTATTCTTAGCCTCCTCTCCCTTTCCTCCACCTCTCGTTTCTCCTCTCTTGCCTTCTCCCAATCCCCTTGCAGTATATGCTTGCTTACCTCACCCCATATCACTGTTGATTCTGTTGGTTTTACTCCCTGCCATTATATTAAGAAAAATAAGGAAAATAAGTTAGAACTACTTTGAGAATATAATTAGGTTAATCCATAATAGAATTTTAGCAGCTTCAAATTTATGATGAAGGATATAAAGTGTTTATAAATATGAATAGATTGAATTTATCGTGATTGTCTCTATTTCATATATTCTAGTAGATTTGTTACCTCTGGATCTTTTACGATTGGAGTGTTGAGGTTTAGAATGGTTTGTCCAGCATCATATAGAACTGAGGTCTTCTCGTTTTGGACATCCTTCAAGAAAATAATTCTGTAAAATAGTAAATATTTATAAAGACAATTTAACGTTGAGTTGGATCATTATGATTTTGAGGACAATAAAAAAAAATATATTGACCAAAAATAAAATATTCTCTTGAAATATAATCAAACTATATGCAAAGTTTAGTTTCTTTTTTATTCTATTCCATAGCAAGTTATGATAACATTATATTTTTTTGTTGTGTAGAATATTGATCATATGAAGAACATTTTCCTTATGATGAAGAGTCTTGAGGAGAAACTTTAGCTCTAGATATTCTTCGCAAAATTAAACTTAGAATATATGAGATATTTTTTCAAACTATAAGATAGTACTTGATATTTACAAGAAGTTTCTTCTTATTTTGCAAGATAATCAAGCCAATTGTAAGTAATTCTACAAATATTTGCAAAATATTACAAATTTTCTTACAGTTCAAGAAAATATCTTATAGCATGAATCAAATTTAATGAATAATATGCCATGCTGCATGTTTTTTCCCATGAATTTATAGTTCAAGAAAAATTTTCCCATATTTTTTCCCTAAACTTAATTTTTTACATATATACCACCTTACATGAAAAAAATCCATTTCAGTTTTTAAAATTCAAAATAGTGATACTTTTTGATGTGGTATGAAAGATTTGGGCAGTATAAATGGTAAAAGAAGTTTTTGTCATAGATGCATATATGCATAGGAATTGGGATGTATGTGTGTAAATGACCCAACTTTATATCATATAACAAAAAAAAAAAAAAAAGTTTGTTCTCAACTTTATATCATATAACCTTTATATCATATAACAAAAAAAAAAAAAAAAGTTTGTTCTACCTGTCCCATTGACCATCTATCTCATAGATGATTTTTGATGATTTGGAGTAAAAAACCTTGCCTTTGATCAATCTAGAATTCCCACCAAAACCTAAGAAAGAGTTGCCCTTGTAGAAGATCAACTCAGCCTCAAGCCCTGATTCTTTACAAACAATTGAAACGGTGCCAGCCCAATCAGCTCCAGGAACTGGAAGTAGATTGAAGTAAAGGTCTGGGGAATTCATTTCATAGCTTTCTCCATGGCTTAGAAGCCTCAAATATCGCTTTCCATTAACACTAGCCTTGATACTTTTTCCTGAAATTAAAGGAAATTTATTAAACAAAAGTCATAGCTTTTGAATAAATTAGCATAAAATTGCATAGTTTATGAAAGTATACCATGAAACTTGGGAACAGGGAAATGATACCAAATCAGTTCTACGTTCTCTTCTTCATCAGTAGCATGTAATGCAGAAACAGGAGGGTGGTGTGAGACCTGCCAAAGTAATAATTTTTAACTATGGGAAAGCTACTGGAAGGTTAAAAATGAAAAAAATAAAAAGTTTAACTATGCACAAAATCTTTGAGAGAAGATTATATAATAGGAGCATTTACATATCTGCCACACAATTCTCCTCATGTATTTACCTATCCAACATCTAAACATTCATATTTACATGCATACCTCTCAAATCCTTAACATCACATCATGCATAGATTCATGTCATGATGGTGTTAATTTATGTCAATGAGGTGGTAATTATAAGTGTAAATATCAAACTTTGGGTGCTAGATATATTAAAACAGAAGAATTGTGTGGTATGTATGTAAATGTCCCATAATAATAATAAAATGAAGGTTCATTCTACCTGCTCCAGAAGGACATTAAGGGTTCCTTTAGAGACATGATGAGTTTCACCAAGAACAGGATTGAAAGGAGCCCAGCCGAAGATGACAGGCCTGGTTGTTGATATTGCCCAGGCGACTACAGTAACAAATCTTTCAAGGCTGTTTGTACCTCGAGCACATTTCGTCAAAATATCTTCGCTGATGCAGTAAACTGATTCACCATAGCATTGAAGCTGTGATTTTGGCATGTTGAAAAGAGGAGGAAGCTGTAGAGGCGGAAACAAAAATAAGTGTTATTATGTGCAGCCAGTTTGACAGAGAATATTGGGGGCTGTACCCCTTATGTTGTGAAAAAAGAAAATTTTTTTCCTTTCGTATATAAAGCCTCAAGACAATGCCAGCAGCACTTTAGCGCCCGGAAAACAGTTCTGTTGCACCCAATTCAAGCTTAGAATCCGAGAACATGACACTTCAAAGAGCCGTGAGGCCACCATCGCGGTGCCCCGACCCCTGTAAGCGGCTTTTGGCAATATTTTCACATAAAGTTTTAGTTTTGCTGAATGGAATGGGTTGTATTTCGATTTTCTTTTGTGTAAAGAAGATCAAAGAAAAGAGTGCCATCAAGTTTCCAAACTACGGAGAGACTTGAATGTGATGTACTTTGTACTATAATTCTCATTTTATTTATAGTGAATTTCTTAATGTGGTGTTAGTTTCATGTTTCTTTCAGTTTCTTGTGATTTTCTTATTTTGTGCGCTTGTATTCAATTTTTCTCTTTTTTTTTTGTTTACTTTTGAATCTATCGAATCCATTTATGTAGTTCTCATCTCTCCCAACAAAATCACTTTATTGTACTTGAAAAGATGTCTTATTCTTAAAAGTCACGAACAACTGTATTTTTATTTGATGTAAGAAAATTGTGTTATTTAAATATAAAAATTAAAATTTAGGTGATATTACATAAATATATAAGATTTGTATGACATGCATGTAAATACTCGTCTTAAAGAAATATCCATTCAATCAAACTATTTTATTTGTAGAGTTTGATACTAATATTTTTCTTAAGTAGCGTCCCTTTCTCTTCGAAAACTTGTTTTTTTTTCAATAATCGCTCCGACGGTGACCTATTAAAAAATCATATTTTTTTTTTTTCGCCAGACTATCAATCCTTATTTCTCGATTGATAAGTTCAGTAATCTTGATTTGCATCATTAAGGATTTCATTATGCACCACATATTTCCAATATTATATAACTAGCATGGTTTAGATTAATTAAAAATAATGAAACGTGAGACACAATTAGAACTCCTTGATTGAAAATTCTATCATTTCCTGTCTCAATTATTTTATCTCTTCTTCGTGCTACCTCGAGTCAAAAATGAATTCCATTAAATTACATTTTACCCATTGAGGTTCTTTTTGTAAATTTATTATATTTAATGTTATTACATAACAAGCCCTTTTTTTCTTACTTGTGTTTGGTTGCAACTTTAGTTGGTTCTTAGTTAGGCCAGATTTGTTTTAACATGTTATTTTTTGCAAGCTTACCATCATTGATTTCAGCAAATTTTGTTACATGTCTATAAAATAAAGCTCCATTGCTTTCTTTTGCTTTCTTAAACCTGTATGCAGGTAAAGACAACACAATCAGGATTTATGGGCGTCTCTTTCAATATAACTTGGGAAACCTTTTACTTTGTAAAATATTCTGTTTATAATAAAACCTAAACTTTAATGGATTAGGGTTTAGGTTGTTGTGAAAACCGGCCGGACCTCGATCCGGAAGGAAGAAAAGTTCAAGGTTCATCGGAGAATAACCTAGTAATCATAAAAATATTTAAATATGATCAGAATGAAACAATCAAAATCATAGTTGTAAAATTCAAAACCTTAGTTTGTTCTACTGATTGGGAAATCAAAATTTAAGCCGGAAATTGAGGAGTTTTCATGCTTGGTTCTCACAAAGGGGAACCGGTCCGCCGGTTCATCGATCAAACCAACGGTTTGAGATAATCTGAAACAGTTTGATGTTGAAATGGTTCAATCAAATATTTAAATTGGACTCCTAGCCGGTTCACGATCAAACCGATTGAACCGGATGTCCCGATCATAAAGTAGGCAAGAAGTTAGGAGGAGTTGTTTCATTTGAAATTGATTTAAATTTTGCATTGTGAAAATTAATTTCATAAAATTTGTCATATAAATTTTGCAATATATTTTTTAAAATTTAAGCGTTAAAATTAATTAACTTTGTTCATCCTGTCAAATTTAATTAAAATTTAACAGTTAAAATTATTTTAAAATGATTATATCTTGGAGAAAGCAGAAAACGGGGATTACAAACATACCACCCAAAATTCCTATGTATTAACATATGTAACAACTCCGCTCGAGCCGGCTCACGAGTCCACTTGCACCCCTAAGAACTATTTATTCATAGGTTGGTGACATCCATGCTTGTAAAAAGCTAAATTTTAGGCGCCAAATATGCAATTACATAAAAAAGAGTGGTATGTAAGTAAATCTTCCTACGCAAAATATATGAACAAAGAAGTCATCACACTTGCCTGAAAATTGGTAAGATCAGATCCTGGTCGTACGTTACGAAAAAGGCTAATGACTCGTTGGAACAGATTAGGTGGCCGGTGCTCCGCGGCTAAGCCTTTGTCAAGCGACAATGGCGGCGTAAGCGTGGGCCGTGGGGCCTGCCTTCCTCTTTCCTCGCCAACCTGCATCTCATTCCAGCAGTATTAAATATTTGATTTAAATCTATTGGTAATGGCATCAATTTAAATGAAAATAAAACAAATAAATATCTTTGATATCTTTCAAATGAACGAGGAGTTAAAATCTTACTTATTTCATATGACATGTATTTACATATATATCATAAATATTTATGCATTTATATACCTAACATCCAAGCTTCTATATTCACATATCCATATCTTTAACATCACATAAAAATATCACAGCTATTTACTTTTTAAAAGTAATAAACTAAATTGCTATAAATACAAATATAAAAAATTATGTGGTTTAATTCGTGATAACTAATTTTATCTAAGCTTTAATATATTCCTAATTATTTTTTTTAATGTATTTTTGTTTTATTTTAGGCACGATCTTTTAACGGTCATCCCGGCAACAATGCGGCCGGGTCCATGAGTTCAATCATGTATGAACTCTTGCGTCTTAGAATCATTTGAATTTTTTTATTAAGAGATAATTTTAATTAGTCCATCAAACAAATTTTTTTTAGTGTTCATATTGACATAATTTTTTTAAAAAACATTTCATATCATACCACATAACTTTTACGTATTTACATTTCTAACAAGTATACCTTAACTTTATATTTATAACTCAAAAGTAGAATGTAAAACTTGATAATAAATAAAATTTAAAGTTAAACTTTATTTAATTTGGTTTGAGAATCATTTAATATTATAGGACTAAATAATAAAGTCAATGACTATACACACATACACATTTATATTTGATCATTAGTGCATGCACAAACATAAATAATTATTTATGCTGCCATATTAAGAGGATAAATAAATAAATAAATATGTTAATCCCATGCAATTTAAATAATATTTGGTGTAACTTTCTCTCTAATTTTCCTTTCAAGACATTATATTTGGCTATTATTATTTTTGTTGTTTTTAAATGTTTTTTGTGATGAGGCTAATGTGACCGACCCAATTAATTCCTATATATTTTTTTACATATCTAACTTCTAAATTTTACTTTTTTACATTTATACCACCCAAATCATTTGCAACATTTATAAAATACCACTCTTTTAAGTGAAATGCTCATTTTTCATGTATAAACAAGATAGTATGTATGTAAAAAGAAATAAAGTATAGGTCTTAGATATGTAAATACATAGGAATTGTGTGGTATGCATGCAAATTTCAAAAAAATAAAAATAAATAAATAAATAAATAAATTTAGTTTCCTCACGAGGAATTAAAAACAACTTTTTTAAAAGGTATAACAATTTCAAATATACCCCAAATTCTAATTAAAAATATTGTTATAAACCTAAATTGAACTGGTGTATAACTCAATTAAAATAAATGATTTTTAAAGGTCCTGCTTTGAGAAATTTTCTTTTTTTTAATACATTTTTGTTAGATTATTCGTTAGACTTGTACTTAGCTCTGTTTTTCTTTTTTATTTTTTCAAATCTTTTAAAAGCGTAGGACTAAGAGTTTGTCTGTGGTCAATTTTGTTTTTATTTTTTTATTTAAAAATATATATTTATTTAATAAATTTATTGAATAATTCTATTTATTATTTCATAAATTAAAGTGATATATTTTCAAAAATATTTATATAATTTTTTATTTATTTTGAATGTTTTCAACAACAATCATATCTAATCAAATATATTCATATCTAATCAAATAAATTTGAAATTAACACATAAAAATAAAATAAAAAATAGGAATAAAAAACAAAAGTAATTTCAAATGGTCTCAAAATTTATTAAAACATAACAAACACAAAAAAAATATTATCTATTTTTAGAATATAATATTCATAAATTATTTTTAAAAAGTGTTTTTTTTTATCAAAATAATTCTAGTCAAAATTTAAGCCAAATGTCTGGCGATCACTCCGTAAATCGCATTATATTTTTTAAAAGCGCACAGGTCACGATTTCTTACAAGCGGCGAGCTCGTTCAGCGCGCGGCAGGTAATCTTCACCGCGAGGAATTATGAATCGCCATTTACCGTACATCAAGAGTCGTGTCAGAAATAATTGGCGATGATGATTCATCGTTCCTCCCAGCGATCAATTAAATTCCTCGTAAAACGGTGTGGGGGGGGGGGGGAAAGAAACGGTCAGACGCCGCAGCATGTCAGCGGCTACCGGAACTTTCCCGCCGCCAAACCGCTCGCCGGCAATCGGTAAACCATTTTGATCACCGCGAAACCGCTTAATGGATTGATGGAAGTAAGTAAAGAGCGTAGAGAAATAAAGCTGAGGAGGAATAAGAAGGAGCACTTTACCATGTTGAAATAAGAAGTATCGTATCCTCCAAATTCAGGAACGGGGATGACGCCTCTCTCTCTCTCTCTCTCTCTCTCTCTCTCTACTCTCTCGGCTGAGGAGCTTACACGGAAGGCGAGACCAACGGGGGCTTATAACTTTTGGATGGGAGGTGGCTTCTATAAAAAAAATAATAATAAAAAAAAAAGATATAAATTGTCAAAATAATTTCTGATTATTTATATATTATCATTTTAATGTCAGAGTTTATAAAATTATGGAAATAGCCATACCCTTTGAATTGGGGCTGAAGCAGGAGTAATTTTATGTCTAGATGAGTTGCCTCTGAATTTAGTGCAGATGATTTTTTTCGTAGTGTTGCTGGTATTTATGATGTTATTTGTGGTATTCTCTAATATCACAATACCACTAATACTATCATGAATACCACCGGTCTTATTTATGCTATCCAAATATAATAATTCATCCTGAAGGAGTCCCTATGAAAGACCATAAGAGCTCATTTTTAAAATATTTATGGATTGTTTTGACATTTTTAAAAACTTTAGGACTAAAACGACCCATTTAAATTATTAATTATTAAAAACAACACTACGTTAAGGCCTAAGGCTGGACCAACTCGGGACAACATTTGGGTTTGTTAATTTAGTTGATTTAATGTTAATTAGCACTATCTTCTACAGTCGAGTCAAGTGTAGTTCATGTATATATATATATATATATATATAT